GCTTTCGGTCCCGGCGACCGCCGCCATCGGTCTCCATATCCGGCGCGCCGAACCTTGACGGTGCAGCGCCGAGCGCAACACGCTCTCCGGGCCGCTCGAAAGATGTCGCTAGTGTCTCGATGGTGGCGTGCAACGATGCAGGGCCAGGCTGAAGTTCTGGCTCTCCTTTGAAGACGTCAGAAATATCCAGTGAATCTAACTTGTCCGATGTTTGACAAGCTGACGCGTGTTGATGGCATGCCACGAGGCAATCGCACGGCGCAGCCTTCAATGCTCCCGATTTACTCGATTCTGAGGCCGACAGAAATCAAAAGCTGTCACCTGAAGCATTGTTGGGCGATCCATTGTTGATGGATACCGTAGCGCTCGATTTATTCTCACTTTGATTTCATGGCTTGGACTGTTCCCCATGCTTCTCATGTTATCAGAATGACATATCTAGATGACTAGGATCGTTAATTGCCGTTTGACGCGGGAATATTTCGATAGATGGGCTCACAGTGATGATTTATTTCATGGCGTTCAAGCACATACCAACGTCAGGTCCATCCAGCGAGTTGCGGCGAATCATGAAACAACACCGGCTATTCTAATCATTCAAATCCATAGCGCATTATTTTACCTCAAAGCCAAAAACCCTAAAGTAGAGAACAAGAGGTCAAGAGCTGAAGTAAAGTAAGATCGCTCCCGTAGCCTCTCATCCTTCAGCCCTTATTCTGCAGCGCGCTTTAAGTCGAGACCGCTAAACCAAAAGAGAGACAACGATTTCTAAGGAAACGTGTCTGTTAGCGACTTTCCACCCTAGCTTCATGGTGAAGCCACAGTGCATATTAATTTATTAAAATAGATGACGATTTCCAACGTTCACGGTGCTGCCATACCGCTGAGTATGCAAAGTGATTAACAGATTCTAGTTTTACCATAGATGATAGAGTCATAGCAGTGGCCCTCCGTGGCAATCTGTCAGTGACCTGTGGCGCAGCAGGCTGAGAACCTGTCGGCTGATCCTGCGCCGCAAATGCAACGTTCGCCGTGTGAAACATTGCCTGACTTACTCTACACCAAACAAGCCGAAAAAGCGCGGAAGGGTCGATTTAGACAAAAACGCCGCCGAGTGTCATTTACTGCATACGACACCGGTAACAATTTTAACATACCCGACGTCTTATCGGCATTGAAAAAAAATGAGATCAGTGTAGAAAAGGTGCATTTAGGGTCAGTTACTGCATACGTCACTGTTACCATCTGTATCTGTATACATGCATACTCAACGTTTCATTGGCATTTTGCATTGCTTCGCACTTTCCTTTCCAGAGACTCCGTGTGCACCTGCGCTCATATGCAGACTATGACTTCCTTATTCCGGTGATGTAAACGACCAGCGCAGCACTGTGCCAATTTCGCAACGGCCAAACCTCAACGGGGCACGTGATTGTGCACCCACCGTGCAGAGCGGCGACAGGGGGACGTGGACCGTGACGTATCTGCGGTCGCGAATGGTCCGCCGAACCGTTTCCTGTCGGCGCTCTTGCCAGAGCGCTGCGCTGCACCCCTAGACTTCCGGAGATTCAAGGATTTGGAACATAATTTTAGCCACTCTGATTTAGGATGGGAGCCTGTTTGTGATTGTTGCGCGATGTCGTGACTTTCGGTTGTTGATTTGTTATTTCGAAACGTGGGGGAAATCGCCGTGTCGCAGTTGGGTATCACCACATTGCACGGCATGATGGCCTGGCTGCAGCTTCAGCTTGGGGTCTGAGCGATGTCGAAGCTGCTCCACTTTTTCTCAGAGCTAAGAGCTGCCTCCCTCCCCCACAACTGAATAGAAAACTGTACACCTGACTGACGGTACCGATAGGAGGCCTCGGGACGCTCACACTGGCTCGGCGAATTCCGAGCATGCGATCTGCTCATGCCCATCAGACCTGGTGGCCGGTGGTGGCGGTGCAGTGCCCGAGCATGCTCTGCTCGTGCTCACCAGACCTGGCGGCCGGTGGCGGTGGTGCAGTGCCCGAGCATGTTCTGCTTATGCTCACCAGACCTGGTGGCCGGTGGTGGCGGTGCAGTGCCCGAGCATGCTCTGCTCGTGCTCACCAGACCTGGCGGCCGACAGTGGCGGTGCAGTGCCCGAGCATGTTCTGCTTATGCTCACCAGACCTAGCGGCCGGTGGTGGCGGTGCAGTGCCCGAGCATGCCCTGCTCATGCTCACCAGACCTGGCGGCCGACAGTGGCGGTGCAGTGCCCGAGCATGTTCTGCTTATGCTCACCAGACGCGGGGTCTTAAGGAGGCGATGGGTCGACTATGGAAGCCACAGGGCCTTTAATCGCCCTCAAGTCAGCTCATGACTGGGGCTGACACGGCCTTTAACAACCATCTGTTTAATTACCAACTGTTTAATGTAAACGAAAAAAAGCACCCGAGTGAAGTGTATTCAACGAGCCGCCCCATACGCGTGTTAAATACTGATGTCTGGAAAATCCACGTCGGCAAGCCCGTGCCAAAAACTCATAAGATAAACGTCACCAGATAACGATCATACGTTTGAAATATGCATCGAACCAGTGCACCGAAATCCATAATATGTTTGACGCCTGATTTCAAAATGTCTATACTTTACAGGTATGGTGCAAGGTAACGATTCATTTTTTATGAAAACTAAGACTAAAATAGCCAGATGTCAGTTACAAGGTATGCTGTGTGTCATGTCATGTCATTGGGGCTTTACGACGCACTCAGCTGCTGAGGCTATATGGCGTCGCCTACCCCTCACCCTGGCAGGAAGGGCGGGGCACCGCGGGGAATCGAACCCCGTACCTCTGGTTTCCCAGACGTGCAGTAGCCATCGCATACGCGTTAACCAATACACTACCGGCACCCCTTACAAGTGTGCTGGCGACGATGGGACGCCAATTTGTGTTATTTTGTGATGGGATTGACTACTCAGTGTGTTGGCTTCGGCATTTATACATCGATCTGTTGGGTTATTACCCGAAAATCATCAACTTTTCCCTAGCCATTAAAAACTCATCAACGTTTATTAAGTGTCGGTGTTTACAAATTAAGTAGACACTCCGCAGGCTTCAACTCGATTCACATATTGCAGCATTATGCTAGCTTTATACGACTTAGGATCACTTTATTCATGAAAAAAACTCTTGTTTACATTATTGTTTATGTACTTACAAGCCGATAGGGCATTTTCACTCAAAACCAACTTCCTATACGGGTTGGTAGGTAACTGTGGCATTGCTTATGTGTTTGGATGGCCCAGAACCAAGGCCAAAACCCACGAGATGAATCAGCTGAGCAAAGGGTGGTGATTTGTATCCGTAGTTTTCTTAACCTCTTCTTCCTGTGTCTAATCACGCTCACAGACAGCCTGGCATAGGCAGACCAAGCGCGCTCCGCACAATCTGACTCAACACGCGGTAGTGTTTGTGCTGCGGAGCCAATGTGGCGCAGCAGTGCCCATCAGTGCCGCACCGCGCGCGGCGGGCGGCACACCATGCAGACGGCGCAGCGGATGAGCGCGGTGACGTGCGACTGCCAAATGCGGGGATCATGGCAATGGCGGGATGTTTGCTTCCGTGACTCGCGATATAAAGAGAGCACGCTGCGAGAGCACTGCACCAGTTCAACTGCCGTCGCAACAGATCCAGTGCCAGCACAAGACCAGCTATGCGGGTACGTGCGCAAGGTAGTCAGAAACTGCTGTTTCGTAATGTAAAAGGTGTTATCAGCATGCTTTGCGGTTCTGGACTGCCTTTTCTGCAATGGTTATCACCCCTCGTCCACGTGCCTATCGTGACAAAACTTTGGACGCGTTGCTGTGAGATTGCAGTCAGTGAAACACTTTTCGACTTGCAAATGCTTACTTATTGCGGGGTTGCGAGTGCAATGCCAAGCCAAAACACTCCGCTCAAGATTCACGGGCCCTGATGGCGAGTCAGGCTTGAGATTCTGGTAGCTCTAACTCCACCCCAGTATGGATTGGTTAAGACTCGAATGCAAGCTGATTACGCCATGGATCAGACCACGGTTCTGACGTGTGCGAAATGGAATGTGTGTTCTCAGCCTGAGACACATACCCGTGACAGATTCAGACTCGCACGCAAGGCTTTGAACTTCCCCGGCATTCAACCTCTAGATGCAGTTCCGTTGAATGCCGCCATCAGCACATGCATTGTGTTTTCTTCATATTTGCGCTAACGCCGGTCTTCAACATCTGAGGTGGCTGTTGACGTCCAACCGATATGCTTAGTGCATTATAAACGTTTGCAAGACGGCAGATGACCAGTTAAAATCTCAATTCAGCCCCGTGTATATGGCATGATGAACAATTATTTCAAGCCCTGATTAGGAAATATGTATGCTAAAGCATACACCTCGTGTCACAACAGTACAGCTACACACATAACTCTAACATTTTTCAGGGTTGTGTAAGTCAAATAATCGATTTTCAAAACTTGTGTTACAGCTCTTCATACTGGCTGGCTTGTTCGCGGGTGCCACCTGTGCGATATCTGAGTTCGCAGACTTCAAGGACGATTTCTACAAATCGGTTCGCGCGCATAGGCCTTCGTCGGCTAAACAAGCCGCCGTCTACAAAACGCCCGTGTATGGCGCAGCTCCAACCTACGAGCCGACTACATATCGACCAGCCCCGGTATACAAGCCCACCACCGTCCGTCAGCGACCGACGTACGAGCCAGCTTTGACCAAACCATCCCAAAAACACATTCCCTCTGGTCTGCGCCAGAAGCCAGCCTCCAAGCCGGCCTCATACCGAACATTTCCAGCGGAAGAGGCTGCCGTCCTCCGCCAGAGGCCGACGTACGCACCCATCTCGAGCGGAGTACTGCAGAGATACGCTCCCTCTGCGCTCCGCCAGCAGCCACTGTATGAGCCGGCATCGTACCGGGAATCTGCAGCGTATGAGCCGTCCGCCCTCCGCCAGAGCCCGACAAACGCACCCACCTTGATCGGACCGTCCCGAAGATACACACTTCGTCAGGAGCCGGCCTATGAGCCCTCCCTGGACCGTTCAGCCGTAGTCAAGCAGCCCATTCTGTACGATTCGGAGCCGCAGTACAACGGGCAGCCGAAGTCCTACGCCTACGACTACATCGTCAACGATCAGTATTCCGGAGCCTACTTCTCCCAGAAGGAGGAGAGCGACGGCCACAGCACCCAGGGGTACTACACTGTGGCTCTGCCCGACGGCCGTATCCAGCACGTCAAATACATCGCCGATAGCGAAGGTGGTTACAACGCCGAGGTCACCTACGAAGACAGCGTTTCCAGCCGTCTTGACCTCGCTGCGCCCGAGAACCCGCCCGGTGTAGCGGAGCCCGACCCCGTGGAGTACCCGCGAGACGCTCCCTACAGCCCTCCAGAGAGCTATCGCGCCTCGACGGCATACGAGCCGGTCACGACCTACCGAGCCAACCCGGCTGTCGAACCGAGCGCTGCCGGAAAGTCGCTCGCTGTCAATAGGCGTGACCCCGTTTACGAGAGTCGAGATGTGTTTAAACCGTCGGTCTCATTTAACTTCCCCCACGCGAGCGATGCAGCCACTGCTTACAAAACCACACCTGCCGCCGGGCCCGAGCCAAGGTCAGCCCTCCTGTCGGCGGTGACATATAAGTACTATCCGTCTTACAAGCCCACGCCTTCACTTAAGCCCACGTTGGCAGCCCAGCCCAAGCAAACCTTGCGGGTGTACCCCAAATACTCAGCGGTATCTCGGTATTGATGGGACGGGGCCAGAAGTTCATGTCTTCTCTCGTTACGAGCTTACCCTCTTACCCTCGCTTACCCTCTAGAGTCCATGACCAGGGTGGCGGCGACAAGTCACGGGTACCTCTCGTGACGATCAGGAAGATCCATCCGCGATTTTTGCATCGTGTGTGGCTATTTTACACTTGTTATTACATCACTGCTCGTTACCGGCTATAATACATGGTTTGAACGTCAGCTGGTCGTGTCACTGACTGGTGGATGTTGTGGAAATGTATGTGGTATGTGGTTGAATGCACAGCTACGCTCTCACATTCAATCTGATGTAAATTAATCACACCGTTGTAAAGCGTGACGCAGTTTGCGGTTGGGTGTTTAGTTTGAGTTCTAAATGGGACGGGCGCAATTGAAAACTATTCTCGGACGCGCACGTAACTGTTTGTTGTATTCCCTCCTGAATCACTTTGCATACATTTTCCTCGCGCCGGCCGTCCGCTTTTTACGCTGCAATGCTTCTGCAATGCTGTTGCAACAACAAGAGCTGTGTGGAGAGAAGTTGGTAGACCGTTGTGACGCAGTGTTTCACAGCAAAGCAGTGTGCCTAGGCGCGCATAACAAGCTTACTAATGAAAGCGTCTTTGTTTATTGTTATTTTAACAACATGCTACTGGAATTACAGAAACGAAGTTGGTATAAATACAGCGAAAACCCATAAATGTGTCAACCAATAACTTCAGAGGCAGAATGCTGACAACCTATCAGCTGCTTACACCAGCAAGGCTACTTTTACAGCGAGCCACGAGCAATGCGATAACACACCGAGTGTCATTACGTCGTTGATGCGAAAACATAAGTGAATTGATCCCCATGCAGGTGACCGCTATCGGTGCACAAGTATTCGTATTTCGTTACAAGCATTAATTTAGAAGGCAGAGATTCCCTGTCACCTATATTGTCTGGCTTTGGGCATGGGGTGATAGTCTAAAAACTGGCAAATCCAGTATGGGCTGCATTTTTTGGTGCTGGCTGCTAAAACGTTGTATAAAGCACTTACTCGTTGGTGGGCATAAGTCACGCTGAAGCTGGGCTAAGTAACTGCGCAGTTTCCACGGCCCGGCATATCCAGTCAAGGCACCAGCGTTTGGTCTCCAAGGTCGAACTACAAGCGGAGACGGCGGATCTGAGCGACCCAACTGACTGGCACGCCCGTTACGACAAAGTTGGGTAGAACGTAAAAAGCTGATTCATATGCGCTGGGATAAACGAGTTATGTGTGTTATCGATTGCCGGCATGGGGTGTGTGAAGCATCCCTCGGGTCTTTTGGAGGCTTAATTGGAACCGTCCGGCTCATCATAATGCAATTTCGGTGACCTTAACTTCCAGACATTATACACCTACCTTGAAAATCTAGGATCTCCACCACGTCAGGTCGCTTCCCCTTGGCTTCGTTTCAAACGTCTGGACGGCGATGATATTGAAAGTCGTTTCGCCGCGAGGCACGTTCAGCAATTTGCGCAACAGAACCCATTGCCTAATTGTTCTGAAAATTAAGTTCTTATATCATCGGCACCATCTATGCTTTAGCATTTCCTTGGGTTATTTAGAGCCAAGGTCACATGTTATCAACTGTTGTAGCTTGCTTCAAATTAGAACTCAAGCATATGAACTATATCATGAACCCAAGCATCCGACTTAGGTCATTTTTTGTACAGTGGTCATTCAAGGTTACGGTCATGCCAGGTCAAATGTCTAAAATGTATCATATTGCCGATAAGTAACAATGTGGGCATAAATGCTGGAGTTTTATCAACAACGCCGCTGGATATAAAATATTTTACTCTAGAAAATGCATGGACAAGTTCATTGGAGGTCCCGAAGCTGCCGCCGGCAGCCTAACGATGACCTCTGTAGCAGAAGTCGACCTGCTTTTATTTCTGTCATCTTTACTTTACGGAAATGCGCGAAGACTAGACCTGGTTTGACCTCGTTTTGCGCAATTTGATATGACGGGTAACCTCATGAACCATCGCAAAATGGTCGGCGGCCGGGTTAGAAATGTAATGTGTAATGAATAAACTTCATGTTAAGTCATGTTGTAGATTAAGTACGCGGCCACCGCCCCGTTTTTGTTGTTGCCGTTTTTAAGTTTTGTGTTAACGCGCTGTGTATGAGATAGGCACCCAGTGCGTGCGATAGTACGACAGCGTGACAGTGCGATAGCCGAGGGAAGGTCGTGTCCGTGCCCTCGCTCCGGTGACGCTGAAGGTGAAGGAATGTCGGGAGCCGGCGAAGCTTGGATATCGGGCAAAGCCACGCATTCTTAGCAGAGGGGTTCGATGGGAAGATGTGCAAGAGCAGGCTCACTGCCCTCGTGTTCATACTCGTGATTGAGTGATAAACTTAAGGCTTTTTTTGCAAAGCCTTGATGCACCAAGCAAATAAGTTTAAGGAATTGAACAAATCCATCGAATCTGCATGTTTGAGCACGAACCAGACACCAAATTTAAAGCCGTTTATTTGAGTACGAACAAGCCCATCGGCTTATGGAGAACGAGGCCCAAATATAAGTGTATCACAGCGTTACTGCAGTGGCTTTATCCCTTTGCATGACTGACACAATGCTCAAGATCACCTTAGCCTTATGTCAAGGGCCACTGGAACACCTCGTGTACCCTTCCGTGATTACCCAGGGCGCTTGTTGCGCGTTCATTGTGGCCTCAACCGGTTCCCCGTGTCGCTTGGAGGAACCGCAGACGGCCATTCTGATGTAAAGCACCCACATTAGGCAAGTTATGGGTGATTGCGTTCTTCACTCAAGTGATTTAATGCTCTTAGAGGCGGCGAATTTTCGTTCGGGCGTCCATCAGTTTAAACGTTATGTTCTTGCAGAACGACACATGAATAATGCTTGATCGCGCGCTCGTTAACGCAAACAGCTCCGTTTCCATCCAACCAAGTCGACCGAAATGTCGTGGAAACCAGCCTTGGCGGTAGGCCTATTGTGAGGGCTCTTATGACAACGCGAACGCCGTGACACAAATACCACCGACGCAAAATGGAACAAAGCCAAAAGGAGCGGGTCAAAGCTGTCACGCAGCCGGGCAGCTGGCAGACTGTCACTTCCTGGAGTTCAATAGCAAGATGTAATGTGCAGTCATAACAAGACCCCTGTGGATGGTCCGTGTACAGCTGATCTATTCCACGATAAAACCGCACGCGCATTACGCGCTACATTTTAACTTCCTACGTGAATCTTTGCATGGGGCTGCCCATTGTCCTAAAACCAAGCAACCAGGCATAAGGAAGATTAGAAGAACGCTCAAGAAATCGCAGCCTCCGGAATTTGGGGGGGGGGGGGGTTATGCAGCGAGGGTGCCTGTGAGGCTCACGACTCAATGCAGACTAGCCCGACGCGTGCCAAACAATACCTTGCCGGACTGGCAATGACAGATTGCATCTTTCGGTGATTTCAACATTTGCCTTCATAAATGTGCATTTTGACTTTATGACTCCATAGCATGTGACTCACTTTGACGATCTGGGCAGTCCCAGTGACATTTCTTTTGAAGAAGGCTGGAGGGATGTTGCCTTGTTTTTCCAACACTGCTCAAACGGGCAGTTTTCGTTTCCGCTCATGATTATGGGTTCAAGTTCGGAAATTTTGGCTTTCAGTTTGCTGAAAAACTGTCAATACTTCAAAAACCAGAGCAGTTGCTAAGCTTCGTAAATTCCTGGTTTATCCTATTTATTTTAACGTGAGGAGGAAAGAGACAAGAATAAGTCTAATTTATACCAAACATTTCATGTTACACATCGAATTCGCGTGCAACCAAACATATATGGCCATGCTCAGCCGACAACACCGAAGGCTCTCAAAGCCCACAACTGCTGCAATGCTAACCTTCTGGGGCTTCAAACCATCCGGGAATGGCTCAAACGTTCTTAGAATGAAAAGATCGAACTTATCGACGTAGCGCGTGCGGGCCGTTAACGCAGATTAAAAACGCATTCGGCGCGAACGCTTCATTGACATGTGAGCACGCCAGATATGTGTCATGGACCGCTGACATGGATGTGATACAGTAATACAGGATCATAAGACGGCTAATGAGTACTGTACAAAGCAATTACACAGCCCGACGCGACGCAAAAAAGTTAGTACGATGAGGCAATTACCTGAATTATATGACCGTCTGCAGGTCATGCCATAGACAAGCCAGAACGGTCGGTTTCTCAGGTTCATCTGTCCCGATAACGTAGCTGGTTAGTTCGACTGCCTTCCAATTCATCTCATTTCGGGCCTACCCTGGGCGAGATATCGTGAGATGGTGTAGCTAACGATAGTTGTCACATGCTGAGATGGTACCACCAAATTGTTACAGATTATATGCGGCAAAGTAGATCCAGCAGCCAACGCTCTTGGATGTAGCCTGCAAATACAGCTCGAAAGCTATGCCTGTTGCAATGTAAACTCACTATTTTTGGCACCTTTTGCGAGCACGCCTTAAGTAAATTGGATCGAATTTTTGTGTATTTTGCGCAGGGATGACGTATGTATGAAGCTTTTAACCAAACGATGGGTTTAACCTAAAAAATCAAACCAAAACGCAGCAAGGGATTCTTATGACCATGAGGCGTTGGACAAAATAACCTGTAATGTTGAGTCAAAATAGTACCCTGGCGGGCAAAATAGGCAATGATATGGATACACAAATGATAGACACGATCACCAAACACGACGAAAACTACAGTGGACGCCTATCAAGCAGTACTCAGTCCCCGCGCGCTCTCTGTACTTCTTTCACCAGACACCATCAGCTTCAGTTCTCTCCAATCCCAAGGCGCTCCGACCCATCTGGCCGACTAACATTTCCACAACACCATGCGGGCACCAAGAGCACCAAAGAGGGCGCACCAACCAACTACCGTCCATACGAGCGCGACACGAGGATCGCCTAAAGGGGCCGCCGCGCCAGCACAGGCTGACCACGTGGAGACCGAGCCACGGGGCGAACGCCGACAGCCGCGCGCAAGACGCCGGATCCGCGCGCGCAGGAGGCGCGCGGGCGCCTTTCGCCGGCGCGCGGCCCTCGCGAGGGACGGGGGGCGCGGGGTCGACCGCCCGCGGCCGGCTGTGTGACCGCCGCCCAGCGCCGGCCCACACCCCACCGGCCGGCCGTATAAAAGCGAGAGGCGGCCGGTGGAGGGCACCAGTGCTGGAGCTGATCCATAGCGCGCCCCGCTCCCGACCATGAAGGTAAGCGGAGGGGCGGGGATGGCAGCGGTGAGCGCCTCCTCGCGGAGTTGTCCTCAGATCACGCTGGCGTGTGACGGGAGGTTGGGGACTAGCGAGCGTGGTTTATGTGGCAGGTGTAGCCAAGCGTCCACCGGTCGAGCACATGGCACGAGCAATGATGTTTGCGGTTGGCTGTCTTGTCTTGATTCAGTTACCGATGGTCGTCGGTGCGTGCATGTCTCCCGTTGTGTGCGAAGCGTGGATTGCTTCTTGGCTCTAAAGATGCTTATTGTTGCAGGTGTTCATCGTTGCCGCCGTGTTGGCTGTGGCTGCGGCCGCCCCGGCCCCCGACAGCCCGCCGACCTACAAGCCGGCCCCACCCACCTACCGGCCCACTCCTGCCCCCTACAAGCCGGCCCCGGCCCCCTACAAGCCTGCTCCGGCCCCCTACAAGCCCGCTCCGGCGCCCTACAAGCCTGCGCCTGCTCCCTACCGCCCGGCTCCGTCCTACAAGCCGGCCCCCTACCACCCGGAGCCCCAGTACAAGGAGGAGGCCAAGCCGTACGCCTTCGACTACGCCGTCAACGACCACTACTCGGGTGCTAACTTCGCTGCCAACGAGAACAGCGACGGCAAGCAGACGTCCGGCTACTACAAGGTGGCTCTGCCCGACGGCCGTGTCCAGACCGTGAACTATGTCGCTGACCACTACGGCGGCTACAACGCCGAGGTCACTTATGAGGGAGAGGCCCAGTACCCCGAGTACAAGCCCGCCCCGGCTTCGTACAAGCCCGCTCCGGCTTCCTACAAGCCCGCGCCGGCTCCGTACAAGCCCGCTCCGGCTCCCTACAAGCCCGCCCCGGCTCCTTACAAGCCCGCTCCGGCTCCGTACAGGCCCGCTCCGGCTCCCTACAAGCCCGCTCCGGCTCCCTACAAGCCCGCTCCGGCTCCCTACAAGCCCGCTCCGGCTCCCTACAAGCCCGCTCCGGCTCCGGCCTACAACTAAACCGCTTTAAGTCCGTGCGTGAGAGTGGAATGTGATATTTATGTGTGCATGTCGTGTTGATGTCCTGTTACTTGCAATACATGCTCAATTCGTCATACATGTTATCCTCTTTTCTTAACACCACCATTACGTGCTTGAAATCGGCCTGCTGTAGCTTTCATGACGGAAAAACCACCGTTTGAAAGCAATATAACCTGACGTGTATTGGGAGAACTAAAATAAGCGCACGACTGATGCACAGTAACTGTCCATAAGCCAAAGGGACGGGGAGCTTGTTCAACGTGGCAGGAACCGTTCAACTTGGGCAAACTGAATAGCTCAGCCCGACCCAACTCGAGACGACCGCAAGAGTCTGCAGAGAGACATACCTAGATCGGAGCATTCTTGCTGTTCGCTATCGACACGAATCTTTGCGAATCGGATGACGTCACTATCATCCGATTCGTGGACGGCACGCAGATTCTCGCCAGCGGTAGAAAAGAACGGCTTGCAGCAACTCCTCACCGGGACAAAACGTGCGCTCTGCGCCGCGCACCGCCAGTTTGGCCACACCAACATGGAGCGGAGCACGCAACAGACGCAGGTGTCAGCGATCGACACTCTGGCCATGCTCCGAGATTTCGTGCTAGAGCAGTCATATATCATGGAGGCACCTCCAACCGTCACACTGATCTGCTGCGCTTCTGAAGGCGCCGACTCCAAAGCAGTCAGATATTTCTGAGGCACCTCCAACCGTCACACTGATCTGCTGCGCTTCTGAAGGCGCCGACTCCAAAGCAGTCAGATATTTCTGAGGCACCTCTAACCGTCGCCCTGATCTGCCGCGCTACTGAAGCCCCCGACTCCAGATCAGTCAAATGCCTCGGAAGGACCTCTAACCATCACATCAACCTCCTATGTGTATACATCTCGACATCATGGCCCACAAGCGCACGGAATACTCGCAGCGTTGTCTCACGCGCGACAGGTGATCCCAAATGCGAGTTTAAGAGAGCGTTGCGCAAGCGTCGGTGTCCGGTGAGAAGCTGCATGCCTGTGTTTGGCTCGTATGGTGATAGCCAGGTGGTGTCGCGAAGGACGCCGCGGATCGCTGTGTGCGGGCGGTGACAGGCAGGGAGCGGCATCGTCGGCACTGCGGCACGGCTCGACTGACCACCTGTCGAGGAGACCTCTGAGTACCAAACAGCGCGTGCAGAACCGGCGGCCGTTACAGCCGGTTGGCCTAGCAGCGCTGTGCCCGCGGGCGGCGTGCCAGTCAGAGGCACCGACACGACACCAGACGCGCTGACCGCTGCACACAGCGGTAAACCCGCACAACGACGGGAGGGCCTCATTCCATTTGGGCTGCACTGCATAGCGGGTTCGGGAGACTTTGTCTCAAACCTAGGTCTTGAATTTATTTGTCTTGTGTGCATTAAATGCATGTCCGGCACAAGAAAACTCAGAATGTAAAGCTATGAAGTAAACCGCTCGCGCGGACGTTTGTTTTACATATTTCCGAGCGCGCACCCCCGTCCCAGGGATAGCCTTGAGCGATTGAGAAAGTGTGATTACATCACACCATTAACAGCGTGCTTCAGTCGCCTCGTGGATATGATAAGGTTGAACTGAAACCCACTATAATTGCATAGTGGCATATTGGCATATTTGGACGGCCACGAACAGAGAGCTTTGGCGCGTACATTTCGTTGTGTAAAAGCATCTTTTGATACTTTCAGAAGGAAGTGCAAACATAGGTATATGAATTGGAGGGTAGGCCGGGATACATGACCCTTCAACTTTAACGAAGGCTTAACAGTAGCCCTATGGCGATGCATGGAGCCGGAAGCATGGGAACCTCTGTCAAAGCTGGTCTCAGGGGGGGGGGGGGCGTCCTGTGCGCCCGGGGGAGGGAAGGGCGTCCCGTGTGCTCGGGCGAAGGAAGAGCGTCCCGTGGACTCGGGGGAGCGGGGAGCATCCCGTGAGCTCGAGGGAGGGAGGAGTGTCCCGTGAGCTCGGGGATGGGAGGAGTGTCCCGTGGACTCGGGGGAGCGGGGAGCATCCCGTGAGCTCGAGGGAGGGAGGAGTGTCCCGTGGACTCGAGGGAGGGAGGAGCGTCCCTTGGGCTCGGGGATGGGAGGAGCGTCCCGTGGGCTCGGGGGAGCGGGGAGCATCCCGTGAGCTCGGGGATGGGAGGAGCGTCCCGTGGGCTCGGGGATGGGAGGAGCGTCCCGTGGGCTCGAGGGAGGGAGGAGCGTCCCGTGGGCTCGAGGGAGGGAGGAGCGTCCCGTGGGCTCGGGGATGGGAGGAGTGTCCCGTGGGCTCGGGGATGGGAGGAGCGTCCCGTGGGCTCGGGGCAGAGAAGAGCGTCCCTTGGGCTCGGGGAAGGAGCTTTCTCGTCTTCAATGTGCTATTCTTTTCCTGATTGGAAAGTTTCATTCAGTGAGCTCTATTCAATCCAGTATTTGTTCGAGCATGTTTCTTTAGAGCGAAAAACACTTAACAGACTACGAAAACGAGCAGTTACTTATTTTAGAAATATATTGATCAAACCAGTGGACTGCTTTAGACTGGTCAAAAGAACTTGAAAAACTTGGAAAGAGACAAGCACAAATTGCATGTGGTGTAAAAAATCAACCTTTAAAAAACTAAAACACAGCATGTCCAAACAGGTTGAAACAAATTGTAATCACGTGCTAGTTTAAAAAGAACCAACTACACCGTCGCATATCGCATTTTAAACGTTCCGTTAACATGGGCGGAAATGTGACGGCCCCTTTACCGTCTTTTGTTGTTTCCATCACATCGGATTTGAGATCAAGCATATTTGATTCAGCGCCAGCGCCAGCCCCCAGCGTTTCCAGCATGAACCCAAGGTGATCGGCAACAAGTGAAACCCCCGCAGCGAAACTACCGGTCATTAAGTGCTTCCACGCCTTCAACAACTGCACCCTGTGAACAATAAAGAGCCCTCTTTTTTGCTTGTTAAGTTGTTTTGTATGCCATGGGTCAACGACGGCAAAGCCTGCAAAGCGTTGTGTGCCGGGTTTTATGCTCACATTGAGGAATTGTTAGTTTTTTCTGTTGTTTGTCTGATGATGCCTGCTTACGATAGCTGTGAAATGGGAAGACGCGCATTGACCAGGGGCCGGTGGTGGGGGGGGGGGGGGGGGGAGGGGGCCTTCAGCTATCTGCAAATTTAACACTCTCCCTATGAATGTTGACCGGAATGAACAAACCCAAGATAACTACCACTCTCTTCACCAAATTGCGAGAACTTCGGATGCCCCAGGGGCCTTTACTAACATCAACGTCGGGGCCGCGTTCCTCACAGGCAACTTACCTACCTGAGTTGCTAGCTTTGACGTCAAAAGAGCCTGTCCTCATACACAATCATCCAACCGTCGGAAAAGGAGCCACATGCCATAGCATGTTGTTGCATGTGCTCCTGTTGTATGTCTCCCCAGATTATTCTCTCGAGCACATGCGAGTCACTCGGTACTTCACGAGTTAGAACGCTTGCACACCTGGTCCGGAGGCGTGTGCATTACCATTGGATGACTGTCAGCAGAAATCAGCTTTGCGCTTGTCATAACCGGAAATAAGACGATATTTGATGGGAGAAGATCGTTAAGAAGCATTGGTTTATGTGACTTCATTGTAGATAGTGGTTAGTTGTGCAAATATGCTATACCCTTTCAATTCAAGCATTTCATCAACAACCTGTATTGCGTTCATTTATTTCGCCAGCGTATTGTCGTTCCCATGACCTACAGGTAGGTGCCGCGTTGTTGGCAGAAACGCCCGCATGACGCTGCAGAATGTCGTAGGTCAAACTCCAGCTTCTCATAAACCCCCTAGTTTGGTCATTCATATCACCTCCCACTCCATTCATTTCTCCGTGCAACACATTCACACCAGCACGCAACAGCACAGCACGTAAATAGCCACTTACTGTCTTGCACAACGCAACCAGGGGGAGATGGATAGGTGGCAATGGACGCGTCGTGCTGGCATTGACTGGCCCAAACCGATCGTTGAAAGCTGCTTGGCCGAAGGTTTATTGCCGCATTACACTAGCACTGACCCAATTCTAGCTACAAATCAAAGGCGGCGACGGCCGAGGCTGGCGGCCGGCAGGGCGATTACGGGCGCGGCTGCGCGGCGATGTGCGGTGTGTGTGCTGGGCTCGACAGGGACCGCACCGCCGGCCACCTCCGACCGCAGGCTGGCCGCTGAGGGAGCGTCGGAGGGGCACTCCGCCAGCCGCCCAGCCGCGTCCTGCAGAGGCGCAGACCCCCCGCTGAGGGAGCGTCGGAGGGGCACTCCGTCAGTCACCCAGCCGTGCCCTGCAGAAGGACGGGCTAGCCGCTGAGGGAGCGTCGGAGGGGCACCCGTCAGCCGTCCAGCCGCGCCCTGCAGAGGGACGGGCTAGCCGCTGAGGGAGCGTCGGAGGGGCACTCCGTCAGTCACCAAGCCGTGCCCTGCAGCGGGACAGACTAGCCGCCGAAGAAGCGTCGGAGGGGCACTCCGCCAGCCGCCCAGCCGCGCCCTGCATCCAGACTGGTTGTATCGGTCTTGAATTGAAATCATAGTCACCGCCAAAGCACCCACTTGATCGGTTGACGCTGTAAACAATAAGTGATGAAAATGCATCGCCTAAAAACGCGTTACAGTAAAGAACGTCCACGCCTCGAAATGGCGATTAAGTAGCCATGGGAAGTTGTCCCTGAAAGTAAGCCTGCTATTTACAAGTTTGGATGCACTATTCCTTCGAGGATGGATCGGAATGTCAGCAGTGATGTACGATGGCCCCACGTACTTGATTCACTACTCGCTGGTTTCTTACGATGGCACCCACGAGGCGCAAGGCGACCGAGTAGATGTGGTTGTCCGCACACCGAGATCACTGCAACGTGCTCAAGGCGGCTTTTACGCGACTTCGGTCCCTCACACTCATGTTGAGCGTGAATTCTCGCACGGCAGCAGCCACAAGCAAGACAAACTGGAACGGCGTAGCGGGGTGGTTAGCGCTACCGACTCTCGCGTGTGGGCCCAGGCTCGAGTTCCAGTTGTGCTATCGCCCGTGTGCAGTAACATGGGCGCTGGAATCGCTAACGTTCCTTACCTGAGTGCGCAGTAACGTGCGTAACGCTCCCTTTTATTCAACATTTAGATCAGAGCATAAAGAACACGAAGCACATTCGCATTAGGAAACTCCGCGCCACCGCCACCGAAAGCCGATCGAAGCGAGTGGTGCAAGTTCTGCTCTATTACTCGCCCAATCAGTGATAGACTGGCTGAACCTAGCCAATCGCCACTCCAAGCGCTTGCCTAACCGGCCCCCTGGCAGTGACGCAGCCACAGAGCGTGCGGCCCGCGCGCCGTTTCGCCGACATTGGCGTGCTGTTTGCGTGCGTCAGCCGCGCGGGCCATGACTGGGGCAAGGCCGGGGACGGCGGTATGCGGAGCGAGCGCCCAAGTCACCACCCACCACACGGGACACCAGCACCTCTTGGACACGGATCACCATCCCACGGGACACCAGCCACCACGCGGAACACCAGCACCTCTCGGAAACAAATCACCACCCCACGAGCAACCGGCACCTCTTGGAAACAGATCATCACCCCACGAGCAACCGGCACCTCTTGGAAACGGATCACCACCACACGGGACACCAGCACCTCTTGGACACGGATCACCACCCCACGAGCAACCGGCACCTCTTGGAAACGGATC